GGGGATGGGGTGGTTTCGAGATGCCAGCTTTGACACCAGCCAGTAAACATTGTCTGAGGCCCTTTCTGCACCCTGGGGGCACCAACTGGCTTTGTCCTGGAGGAGGGGCCTTTGGGGTCCAGGCCGGCCCTCCCTTCTCCTTGGGGAGGATGGTGGAGGGAGGCAGACAGCTCTTGGTGCCTGGAGCTGCGGGGGCCCTGGCTACCCCTCTTCTCCTTTTACTTAGGCTCCGGGTTCCAGGGGGTGCCATCCCAGGGGGAGGATGCCCCAGAATCCATGGGGGGAGATTAAAGGCTGAATGAAAAGAGTGGATGGCTGGGGGCTGGGAGACCTGGGTTGGGCCTGGCTATGCCCTGCAGGCTGTTGTCTTCCCATTTGGATCTCAGGTTTTTTTGTTTTTGTTTTTTTCCATTTATTTATTTATTTTTTAGAGATATCGGAGGGGAGGGAGGTAGAGAGAGAGAGAGAGAGAGAGAGAGAGAGAGAGAGAGAGAGAGCACAACATCAATGTTGAGAGAGACACATCAATTGGTTGCCTCCCATGCAGCCCTGGTCAGGGCTGGGAAAACCTGCAACCCAGGCACATGCCCTTGAGCGGAATCAAACCTGTGACCCTTCAGTCCATAGGGCCTATGCTCTAACCACTGAGAAAACCAGCCAGGTCTCAGTTTTCTTATCTGTAAAATGACAGAGTTTGGATTAGTGGTCTCCCAGCAGCCGTCCTGGAGTCTGTGATTCTGGTCGGCATGCTCAGCTGGGCTGTCTCCACCCTAGAAAGAACCTCCCGACTCTGACCTCTGAGCTGCAGTCCCTGATTCTGAGGGCACCCCACACATCCTGCTGACCTTCTTAAACACGGGGCTTCTCTCCTCTGAGCACCTCCCTCCTCAGCCCTGCCCTGTGCTCCTTCACTTTGCCTGGGCAGGGCCCTCTCAGCTGGCTCTTCTCCCTCCCCGTATGCTGGCTGGGAGCCAGGAAACCTAGGTTTTAACCCTGGCTCTGCCATGTGGCATATGACCTTGAGCTAGAAACCAACCCTCTCTGGGCCTCAGCAGTGGGCTGGAAGGTCCATCAGGCTCCTCCAGCATCAGACTTGATCACATCCCGGCCCACAGTGTTGGGGAGTTCATCAGGACCTGGGGTTTGTGCCTCGATTCCAGCTCTTGAAAGACCCTTCCTTGCCCCTGGGCCTTCATCTAATTCCTAGGGTGAGTGGGGAGCATTTTGTGATAGTAAGAAATATAGGAGAACCATCAAAATTTTGAAAGAAGATATGTGCAGAGTAAAGCCCACAAAATTTCATCCAGGTGAAAGGAAAAACAATGAATAATGAACACATTTCAAAATCAAAGTATTTTCTTCTTTCCTGCTATTATTTTGAAGGTTGTGCCTTCTGACCACATCCCCTACCCCCTGCCCCCAATGTTTCTGCTCAGCTTCCCATCACTACCTTTCCTTATGTGGTTCAGGATTCCCAGGGAACTGGAGAGAATCATGGGTGTCCCTGAGAAAGGAGAAATAACCATGCCCCAGTGGGCAATGATGATTCAGCACCTTGGCCAGCACCTTACCCCCTCCTCCTAATCCCCACCCGTAGCGCCCTGCATTTAAACCTGTGACATGGTCCTTTGCAACTGACCTCCTGGTGGAGCATTTGGGGACAGTGAACAGAGGCTGGGCCCAGACAGGAGAGGAGGAAGCTGGGAATGCTGCTCAGGCAGGAGGAAGGCTAGTCCCCAGAGCCCCTGAGCCAAGCTCTGTGCCCGTAAGAGACCTTACCTCTGTTTTCTGTTCCTGCTGCCACCCCAGAGAGAGGAATCCAGAGTTAATGGCCTTGTTAGGTGCTGAGCAGGCCAAGCCCTGAGACTAACATTAGACGTATAGAATCCTGACCATCAGAGCCAGGACCTTGGCTATCAACTAGATCCCTAGTCCCTCCCCAATAGGGGGGGGGGGCACTCAACTTCACATAGTACCTTCATGAGTCCACCCCTGACCCCTGGAGACACAAGAGGCTTGGCTCACAGCTGCACAGTTCCACAGTGGTGTGGAGTCTGGACTAAGCTCCCACTTGGCATCCAGGGAGATCACGGTTCTGGGGCTGCTTCCCGTCACTACAGCAGCCCTCGCAGTTGAGAAGCATGTCCAGGGAGGTCCAGTGAAGAGTTTGGCTTTAGCTGTGCATAGGCCTGGGTCTGACTTCCAGCTCTGCTGAACACTGGCTGTGGGTCCCCTGGGAAGTAATGTTTCTCCGTTCAGATGCGGAGATGATGATACCAGCTTCATGGGCTTGTCCTAAAAAGTACCAGCACTTTACCTGCTGACCACAAATGGGGATCCGAATGGGGTTGCTGTTGTTCTGTCAAGTGGGTAAGATCTTTGCTGATCCCTCCTTTCTCCCCAAGGTCGGGCTGCCTTTGCCTCTTCCCTTCACTTACCTGTGTTAAATGTGGGGTTTGGCCCCATAACCCCAGATGCCTTCATTCAGGAATTCTCAGGATACTTCAGACCTCTTGGAGGTGCTCTGATTTCCAGAAGTCCCTTGTTGGGTGTGCAAATTAGGCTCCTACAGTTACCACCAGACTCCCGGAAACTGGGAGGGAAGACTGGGAAGTGACCAGCATTTCTTGGACCTGGTGTGGAGGCTGAGTGGGGGGAAGGGCAGGAAGGACTGTGTGGGGGGGTGCTTCTTCCCCACTGGACAGATGCACTGAGCAAAGATGGAGGGGTGTAGCTCTGGAGGAGTCACAGGGATCTGGGAGCACGGGGTAGGGTGGGGGAGATTGGGGATACTTATCTCAGAATCAGCCCCCCAATCTTTCAGCCCCTGCTAACAGCCCCTTCCAATCCTTGTTCATGCAGCTCTTTCTAGACTCCCACCTGCAGGTATTGGTGAAGATCTACCTGGTGCCTCACAGAGCACCCAGTCTAACCTCCCTCGCTCTGCAGGTGAGGAGACAGAAAAGGGCCTTCAGGGTACAGAGTGGGTCAGCACAGAGTAAGAGTCAGCCTAGGACTCCTGTTCGCAGACTGCTGCACAGCTCAGCTGCAGGGGTCCAGTGGCCTTTCCCCTTGGCGTGCACAGCCTGTGTCCCCATGCAGGGCTCTTCCCCGTCAGTCAGAGGCAGAATGCATCTGCTTCTACACAGCAGACCTGGGGACGTTCTGGCCTAGGGGGTCCCACACCCCACATAAGGCACAAGCAGGAAAATAGGCACTTTAGGGTCAGAGCCAGCCCAGGGATTCAGAAAACTCAGTTCCAGGCACCGGCTCCGGGAGGGAGCTGGAGTGAGACAAGGCCTCCCTAAGTGCACTGCACTTCGCGGCTTACTGATAAACCATGTGAAATTGGGTTATTATCCCCATTTTCCATGTGGGAAAAGTGAGGCCCAGAGAGGTTGAAATCAGTTCTCTAAAGTCACAGTGATGGAGCCTGGATTCAAGCCAGGTCTGTGGGATTCCAGAGACCAGGTTCTTGTCACTGTCTCATGATCCACTCTGCTCCCAAGGCTACCCCCACCTCCTTCCCGGCCAAGACTGCCAGTCTCCCCCGTGGTTCATGTGATGTGAGTAGTGGCTTCAGACCTCAGTTCTAATCCATGCTCATCGCTTACTTACCTGCGTGGGACATGGCACTGTAGGCGAGTCCCGTCCTTTCTTAACCTCATTTTCCCACTTCTGTAACGTGGGCAGACTGCTGTCTACCCAGCAGGGTGCTTTGTGGATTAGCCATGCTAATGTATGTAGACTGCCTGAGACACAATAGGTCGGCCTTTCTGTTTTTCAAAATGAATGAAAGTGACCACTGGTATTCTGTAACTTTAATTTAATACAAACTTATCATAACTCACAAAATGGGCAACATTTGAAATAAAAACACTGCTGGGGTGGCCCAGATTCCAGTAGATGAAGGGGTGTGGTGAGACTGAGGATTCCTCCTGCCCAAGGGAGGCCCCACTGGGCAGCAGTTGTGAGGTGAGAGCTCCCCAGGTTCAGCTAGTCTGGGTCCTTTGGGATGGGTCTGGTCAGAGGTGCCAAGTTCAGAATCTAGGCCCCAAGACTAGAAAGAAAAGTCAAGGCTGGAGAGAGATTTCAGTTGGTCCCGCAGGCTCATCCTTTGGGCTCCTGCCCCTGGGCAGGGACAGAGCCTCGGAGCAGGAAACCTGGAGGCTCTGCTTGTTCAAAGCCAAGGCCTGGAGGTAGACTCCAGTGACAAAACCACGGATGGGCCGTGGCTGGTTTGGCTGGGCTGTTAGAGCGTCAGCCCGCGGACCAGTGAGTAGCGGGCTTGATTCCGGTCAAGGGCACGTACCTCGGTTGCGGTTCATCCTCAGCCTTGGTTGGGGTCGTGTGGAAGCAACCAGTTGATGTGTCTCTCTCACACTGATGTTTCTCTCTCTCTCCCCCTCCCTCCCTCCTTCCCACAATATCTGAAGATAAATGGAAAAATGTTCTCAGGTGAGGATAAAAAACCAAAAACCATGGATGGGCTCATTCAACATCCATTTTAACTTCCTTCTAGCGGATCTTTTTGTATGGCTGAGGCTGGAAAGAAGAAAACTACACTTTCCAGACTCCCCTGTGGCCAAGGTTCTGGGTCTGATTTACAGTTCCCCAAACAGAATCCCTCAGAGAGACTCGGATTGGGAACTGCATGAGTGGGAGACAGGCGGGCCTCGGGACATCCAGCTGCGGGCGTGAGGCGCGGCGGGAGCACAGTTCCGCAGTCGGCCTTCCTGAGGCGGTGCTGCCGGCCCCGGGAGCAGCGTGCCCAGGAGCAGCGTGCCCGGTCGGGAGAGACATGACGAATCTGGCAGCTGGAGCTGTTTTTGGAAATTCAGCAAAGAGTCTGCTCCTCCAGCCCTTCCAATGATTTTGCAAAGCCACCAGGGACCCGGTAATAAATCCTGTCTAATTAAACGAGCTACAGCAGCTCTTGTTTTCTACAACAGGATCTTAACGGAGATGGATGCAAAGCCTGATGAGAGGTCCCAGCCCACAGCCCATTCCAGGACTCAAGTCCTGCCGAAAACACTGCTCCCCGCAGCCTCCCCCACACCCTAGCCAGGTCACCGGTCTGGGGGACCTGCGTCCAAGCCTCATTGTTAAGTGATGCTGGTCCTGCAGCTGCCTTTGGGCTACTGGGCTCTGCATCGGCCTTGGGGGTGTGTCGTCGTCCTGCCTGTAGACCTGCGGGCAGGAAGGTGGTGGCATAGCGGCTGCAACATGTGGCTTCAGTGACCTGGTGCCTTCCACAGGCCACAGCACCGCTCTACCTGTAGGGAGGGAGGCGGGAACGTAGAGCTCTTGGTCCTTGGACGGAGAGGGTGGTTCTCAGGCCGTGCTAGGTCCAGCCACTGCCTGTGTCCACGGTGGGCTGGGGTCAGGGTAAAGTGGCCCATTACAGGCTTGGTCAGGGGCAGTCTCAGGTCTGGGAGCCTAAGAAAGTTCTGAGTATCTTTCGAGCTGCCAACTGCTGGCAACACACTCTGACGTATCCTGAGGTCAGGGCGTGTGGGCAGGAAGGAGGGAGGTATAGGGAGACAGTCTCCTGCCCCAGAGAATGGGGATGAGGGTTGGGCAGGGGCTGCCCTGAGGAGAACCGTGTTACACTCGTGGACCAAAGATGCATCCCCGTCAAGGTCAGAGCTGAGAACATCAATGCTGGAAGGGGGCGTAGGAATTACAGGGCACAGCCTCCATTTCACAGACACGAAAGGGAGGCTGAAGGGCAGACCACCCTAGGCTGGCCCAGCGGGGCCGCAGTCCAGGCCTCCTGTCTCTGGGCAGGGCTCTTGCTGGTGGCCGTGGCCCTGGTGCCTGCGGTTCCTTCCACTGCTTTAGATGCGGACGGTGTTGATCCGCAAGGGCTGCACGTTCTTGCCATTGGCATGGCTCTGGCCGGGGCTGAAGTAGGAGCAGAGCTTGCCAGGGAACTTCTCGCGGAAGGTGTAGAGCCAGGACATGTCGTCGGCGTTGTAGAAGATGAGCAGGCCTTGGTCGTAGTCCAGGAAGACGCCCACCTTGTCGAGCTTGTCTCGGACGTTGAGCCGCGTCCAGGGCTCGGTGCAGGCGCTGTACTGGTTGCCGTCGTGCATGACGATGCAGTAGAAGCCGCGGCTCGGCTGGATCTGGATGCTGCCCTTGCGGCTTGCGGCCTCGTGTGCCAGCCCGATCACCCACTGGGTCTTCTCAGCCACCACCACCTCCCAGTAGTGGACGCCGCCGCTGAAGGCCTCGGAGCCCAGCACTGACACCTCCACATCGAAGCGCTTGGGCGAGTCCTGCAGAGGCTGTGGGTGCAGGTTGCCGTAGGCTACGATGGTGCAGTCGTCGGACAGAATCAGGCGCTGGTGGGCGGTGCCCGGGTCCAGGGTCAGAGCAGCTGGCACTGCAAGGGATGGAGGAGGGAGACATGAGTGGAGAGAAGACTGCAGACCCATTCTGCAGTACCTCCCTGAGGGTCGTGTTCTGGTTGGTCCCCAGGAGGCTGTGTGATGCTAAATACAAGCCTCTCCGGGCCTCAGCTTCCTCTTCTGTAAAATGGAAGGGTGAAGGCTGAGGTCCTTCCAGATTTCAACTTGGCTCAGGGCAGCAGGAGTTGTGGCTGCTTGTTCGTGGCTGATGTCTGGGGCAAGGCATGTGGTGGGCACCCCATAAAAGTTTGTTGAATGTACCAGAATGAAGTCCTGAATTAGAGAATTTCCAAGCTGGGAGGGAGCGTAAAGATTATCCAAGGGCTGGATAATCCCCCTGGGGGTCATTTGGAAATTTGTGGGAGGTGTTTGGAATGTCTCAAAGATGGGGTGCAGGGATGTTAAATGTCCTGAATAAAATGCACAGGGCAGCCCTGGCCAGTTTTGCACAGTGGTTAGAGCGTCAGACCACAGACCAAAGAGTCTCGGGTTTGATTCTGGTCAAGGATACCTCGGTTGTGGTTGGGTTGTTTGGGAGGCAACCATTCGATGTGTCTCACATCGATGTTTCTCTCTCTCTCCCTCCCTCCCTCCCTCCTACTTTATCTGATGATAAATAGAAAAATATCCTCGGATGAGGATTAAAAAATAAAATAAATAAAATAAAATAATAAAGTAAAATAAAATAAATAATAAAATAAAATAAAATAAAATGCATAGGGCAGTCCCAGGCCACCCCACCAATGATTTTCAAATGTTCCCTCACACAATACTTTTTATATGGTTTCCATATATACTAAGTATTTTGGAAGGTAACTACCATGCAAACTGAGGAAAGACTACATTTGTTTTGATTGGACTTCACTGAGAATTGTTCACATTTTTGGAAACTACATCTCTAAGAACAATGCCACCAACCGAAACAACCTACCTGTTCTGGGCTGCATTTGAGGCAGAGTGTGCTTTACCCGACTCCCTGATTGTTTTCTAGTGTGGGGGTGAGTGAGCATCTACACAATGACATATGTAATGTACATATACTTTTAATCCTTACCTGAGGATATATATTTTTTTCCATTTATTTTTAGGTAGAGTGGGAGAGAGGGAGGAGAGAGAGAGAAAGAGAGACACATCAACTGGCTGCCTCCCACACGACCCTGACCAGGGCCGGGGACCGAACCAAAACCAAGGTACATGCTCTTCACCGGAATCGAACCTGCGACTCTTTGGTCCTCGGCTCTAACCGCTGAACCAAACCGACCAGGGCGCAATATTTTATTATAAATAATTTCCTTCTGCTTTCCTTTATATTACAGCCAGAGCGATACATGTAGGTATATGTATATATGTTATATATTTGCTTGACATTGTTAAAAGGTCATTCTGTCTTTGAAACATTAAAAATGATTTGTTATGAGAAGTAGATAATGAGTCTGAAAAAGCTGAAAAACTACTGGTTCTAGGCCAACTCTCCCATTTGACAAACGAGGAAATGGAAACCCACAGAAGAGACATGACTGGTCTCTGGTGACTCAGCAAAGCCGGGACTAATCAAGGCCACGCGCATCCAGCCCCAGCCACTCTTCCAGTCTGCCACTTCCCATCCCCTCAGCCCCAAAGCCCTCACTCTGACTGTTCCTCTAGCGCCTCCTCTCTGCTTGTTGTAAGCAACCCCCACAAGGCTCCACTCCAGGGCTGATCCTCTGGGAAGCTTCCTGGTTACCCAGGTGTGCTCGCTTTCCTCGGAGATTCTTTAACTGTGTGCCCTCTCCCAATATAGGGTACAGACTTCTGTGCCCACATCTTCCCAGGAGGGCAAGGCTGTGTATTATCCAACTAGCCTCTCCCTCGTGCGCCCAGTGCATGGGGAAGATTTCTGGAAAGACTCAAATGAAACGGACCGGCGTGTGTTACTCTTTGGGCAGGCAGCAGAGGCGGGGTCACCTGGCTCTCAGTCCTCTAACTCTAGTCTGTTTACCCTTTCCTCCCTGAGGGAGCTGATGCAGTCGAAAGAAGGGGGACCCTGGAAGTGACCCTTCTGAGTGTGGGTGAACATTTCCAGGCCTTAGCAAGGCAGAGGGCAGGAAAGGTGGGAAGGAGGAATCTGTCACCACCTCCTTGGGGCAAAGGAAGGACTGCATCTGGCTCTCTGGCACTTTCTTGTTTTTTTGTTAATCCTCACCCGAGGATATTTTTTTCCATTGATTTCAAGAGAGTGGAAGGGAGCAGGGAGGGAGAGGGAGAGGGAGAGAGAGAAACATTGATGTGAGAGAGACACATCGATTGGTTGCTTCCCACACGTGCCCCAACTGGGGCTGGGAAAGTGAACCGGCAACCCAGGCACATGCCCTTGCCAGGGAATCGAACCTGTGACCCTGTGATGCTTGGGCTGACTCTCCAACCACTGAGCCACACCAGCCAGGGCTGGCACTTTCCTTATCAGTGAAGCAGGGACATGGTTACACTTGGCTGGAGCATTACCCCTACTTCAGTCACCTCTGTTGGCTGTGTACATGCAGAAATAAAATGCCTCAATGGTGGCAACTGTCTCCAACAGACGGCAACAGACAGCCCTGAACTGTTTCTGTCCACACATCCACTAACAGCTGCCACATTTAGCCCCTTCTGTGAGCTCTATCAGGAGTGAATTCAGTTTTTCATTTTACACTTTTCTTTCCTGTTCTTAGAATTCAGAGGGCTGCCTGGAAACCATTAGCCCTGTGAATAGAGGGGTCAGTGGAAACAGTTCTCTATCCAGGGACATTGAGGAGGGATGCCACAAGAAAGACGATGCGGAACCAGAGTTACCCTGTCATCTGACTGGTCACCGTGCAGCCTGTCAGAACCACAAGCTCCTGCCACATGGCATGTAGGAATTCCCAGCGGGGTCAGGAGGTGGGGTGGAGAGGGGTGTAGGAAGCATGTGCATGTGTATGGTGGGTGGGGAGCTAGGGAGAGAATCTAATCAGATGGGGCCGCTCCTCCTGGCTGTGGAATGTGGGTCATATTCAGGTGTCTATTGAATGGGGTCAGAGCAGGCACAATGCCAAGGTCTGGGCAGCAGGAGTTACCCTTGCATCTGAGGTGCCCAGGATGATTTTAGGAGACCAGCGATAGGCAGAAACTGTGGCTCAGGGCAGAAGGACCAGGACACTAGCACACAGGCAGGAGGGCTCAGCCCCAGGCATTTAAGCCTATGCAGAACAGTGCAGGCCACTTTAGGTGCCACTGTGAGTGGGGAGGCCGCTCCAGGACGCAGCCACGTGGGCGGTCAGTGGTTCCAAGATGGGGCTGACAGGTGAGCTTACAGGAAGGAGGAAATCCTGCACCGAGTGCCAGGTTTAGGGCATAGAAGCCCAGGGGTCTGGATGAGGGCAGGGCCCACCACTCACTAGGTGGGCCTAGGGACTAGCGATGGGGTCAGCCGTTCATTGGGCATTGCTGGTAATAGAGGCAGGACTAAGGGGCGGGGTCTGACAACAGGGGGCAGGACCCTACATCTCAGGGCAGGGCTGGGGGTAGGGGACTGGGGTTATTGGACAGAAGGCATGGCCTGACTCTTAGGAGGCTTTTACACCCAAAGGGTGGGCTGAGGGCTGCCTCTAGGGCCTCCCATCTCATCATAAACAGAGGGTCCTGCCTTGCAGGCCTCCCCCTCACCTTCCCTGAGGCTAGGGCTGGCTAACAGCCTTCAGATCAGAGAGAGACCCAGAAGGCCCTTCTAGAAGTCAGGCAACCCCTCCACCCATCCTTCATCCTCAGGAGAGGGGACAGACTGAGGGCAACACATCTCGTCCCCTGGAGTTTCCTGTTTTACAGGGCTCCTTCCTACGTCCCAGGACACTGTTTTATAAAAACAAAAAGCAGCCCTGGCCAGATTGACTCAGCGGTTAGAGCACTGGTCTGTGCACTGAAGGGTCGCGGATTCGATTCCTGGTCAAGGGCACGTACTTGGGTTGCAGGTTTGATCCTGTGGCCCTGGTCATGTGGGAGGCAACCAATTGATGTGTCTCTTTCATATGGATCTCTCTCTCTCTCTCCCCCTTTCTCTCCCTCTTTCTCTCCCTCTCTTCCTTCCTCCCTTCCTCCCTTCCACTCTACTTAAAATAATCAATGGAAAAATATCCCTGGATGAGGATTAACAACAATGACAAAAAAAAAAAAAAAAAAAAAGCAGGCAGCCTGCCTGGCCTCCAGGTAGGTTCTTGGTCCATTAAAGCCACTCTGAGACCTTGAGGTCAAAATGCTTTCGGGAAGGAGCTTGGATTGTGGCGGCCCCAGGAAATGTCTCCGGGCCATCTCTAACCACACACTACAGCAGCGCAAGAGGCAGAGAAACCCCACAGCCCAGCACCCTCGCTTGGCAGTGAGTAGCTTGTGCCTCTTTGTTCTCAAGGACAGTGGCTTTGAGCTTGCATAGACCTGACAGGACAGGAGACACCATCAGCTCTCTCCTCTGGCCAGGCCTTTGGAATAGCTGGCCCCTCAGTCCCCCACCTGCTCAGGCCCTCAGTTGCACAGTGCTGGCATTCAAAACCCATTTCACACCCACTAGCTGATGGAATACCACAGCAGCCCAGGAGCACACATTACTGTACCCATTTTTCAGAAGAGGAGACTGAGGCTCCGGAGACTTCTCTAAGTTCAGTGGCTTGCTCAAGTTGCCACTTCGGGTGGAAATAGCATTGGAACATGAGTTAAGGTCTTTCCACACATGTTCTTTTCTTTATGTGGCCCCAGAAAGCCTGTTCAGCAAGACTGAGGAACCATCTGATGTTCATGGTAATAAAGACAAGCAGGTTCCAAGCGTTTACTAAGTTCCAGGTTATTATCACAAAGAAATGGTTTTATTTAACTCTCACACCTTCCCTGGGAGATAAATCACACTCTCCCGATCCCTGTTTTACAGATGAAGAAACAGGCTCAGAGAGGGCAGCGATTTGCCCTGGTCACACAGCTAGGGAGGCAGAGAACGTGCTAGAACCCAAAATGACTGAATTCAGATAAACGGAGAGGAAAGAACAGGTCAGGAGAGGGAGGTGGTAGGAAAAAAGGGAGCAGTGTCTGGTGTCCTTGGGACAATGGCCACCTGGCCTGGCTGGGGAAGAAGCTGATGTCTGGGAGCTGGGACAACCAGCCCAAGCAGTTGGAGGAGGTTTTCAATGTCAGCTGAGGGGTGGGACGGGGAGTGGGTGGCAGTAGAGTGTGGAGGTTCCAGAGCAGGGGATGGAGGGATGAGGAGGAGTGACAGGTGCTAGAGAGAGTTCTCAGGTGAGCCAATAGGAAGCTTGAGCTGCAAGGGGGGGAATGCAGGAAGCTGCTGGAATCCATGCGCTAGGTCCCTGGGGGCACCTGCCCCTCCCATCTGGACACAAGGGCGTTGGAGCTGGCAGAGGAGCCAGAATGACTTCACAGGCCCTACAGACAAAGGAAGGGGCCTGGCTAACCAGGTCACTGTTCTCTGAACTCCCCAGGGGCCTCTGTCCTTGGCAGGATGTTCAGGGCACACATTACCCTGCTCCCTCGGGCAGCTTTCTCTGGGGCAGTGGCTCTCAACTGGGCCATCTGCCTCGAGGAGGACCTAGGGCGCACTGGAGACGTTTTTGGTTTACTACAACGGGGCGGGGAATGGTGCAGCATCTCATGTAGAGACTAGGGATGCTGCTAAACATCTGACCATGCACAGGGCAGCCCCCTACAACAAGGAACGATCCATCCCCAAATGTCAATGGGACTGAGGCTGAGAAACCTTGCTCTGGGACAAGCAGAGTTCCCATGACCATGCACTCTCTTGGGAGGGAGTCGAGAAGGGAACACTAGCATCCCTACTTTACAGAGGAGGAAGAGCTTATTGGAGGGTGTGTGGCATTGCCCTGACCGGTTTGTCTCAGTGGTTAGAGCGTCGGCCTGCAGTCCAGAGTCGTGGGTTTGATTCCGATCAAGGGCCCAGACCTTGGTTCGGTCCCCTGCCCTGGTCGTGGTCATGTGGGAGGCAGCCAATTGATGTGTCTCTTTCACATCGATGTTTCTCTCTCTCTCTCTCTCCCCCCCCCCTCCATCCCTCCCTCACAGTGTATCTGAAGATAAATGGAAAAATATCCTTGGGTGAGGATTTAAAAAAAAGAAGAATGTGTGGCAAGTTCCTTTAGTCAACAAGTATTTATTGAGTATGTACTTCATGACAGGGACTATTCTAATTGCAGAACTGAGACTAGGACTCATGTTCTATTCATTCATCAGTAGACATGTACAGTACTGGCTGCTGGGTATATGTAGTGATGAATTAGACCCAGCTCACAGTCTACTGAGAGAGACAGCCACACAGACACTGACAAAACAGTGAGACCAGGCAAGCCCAGGACTACCTGGAGAAATCCAGGAAGGCTTCCTAGAGGAGGCGTTTACAAACTAAGATGTGAAGGAGGTAGTAGTTGGCCATCAAAGGTTTGCACAGAGGGTTCCAGGCTAGGGAACAGCATGTGTAGAAGTCTGGAGGAGGGGGAATATGGCTCACAGGTCCTTGATTGGCAGGCTGAGATGCCCAGATTGCCTCTGGGAGCTGTGACAGGGATGCAGCAGCACAGAGCTCTGAGCCCAACTGCCCGAAGGCTTCCCTGGTGAGTGGCTGGGGCAGGAACAGGACCCTCGGACATGCTTCTTGCCTCCTTGTGTTATGCTGATTCACCCATTAGTGGTCCTCACCCTGCTGGGTCCCACTGTGGAGGTCCCTCCAAAGGTAGGAACACATAGAGACCGCTGCCTCAGGAGGATAACCCAGAGTCCCACCCAGTCTGGAAAATGGGCTCTTCTCCCAACTACTGCCCCCGTTGTGAACGAGGCCCTAGAGCACTAGGAGGTGTCTTTTCACTTCTGTGAAATCACTAATCACGTCAAATGAGGCCTTCAGTCACCTAGAGGGAGCCCCATCTCTGTCTGGCATTCATAGGCTCAGTGACTGGCCTCAGTCCCTTTCTCTCTCTACCCAGAAGGCCCAACTGGTAACATCCTGGGATCACCCACCGCTTTTGCCTATGCAGTTCAACCCCAGGGACTGGTGGAGGCACCTCCAAGCCCCATCTTTCTTGAGTGGCCCGGCCCTCAGCTTTCAGCACTCTGTTCAAACACTCTGTTCAGTGATGTCCAACATCCCCCGGCCCCTCCCCTGCGCCATCCACAGCCTCCTGTTGCCCCCTCTGGGCTCCCACAGCACTGAGTCCCTTGTCATACACAGTCCTTATTCTGCTGGACTGTCACAGTCTGTTTGCCCATTTGTCTCCACTGACCCCTGGCCTCAGGGGACTTTCGGTGTTTGTAGATCAAAAGAAGGAAGGCAGACAGGTGGAAAGAGCTCTGACTGCTGTGTGACCTTGGGAATCGGTGAGCCTCTCTGAGCCTCAGCAACCTTCCTAGGTTGGTGTGAGGAAGAGAATGGCAAGTTAGCTTAGTGGGTAAGGACATGGGCTCTGGGGTCAGACAGATGAATCCTGGCTGTACCATTTATAGGTTGTGGCCATGGACAAGTTCCTAATAGCTCTGTGCCTCAGTTTCCTCACCTGAAAACATAAGGATAGTCAGAATGCCTGCCTCTTAGGGAGAAGTCCCCCCTATGTCCTTGTCTTGCCTCTAAAGGACACTGTGCCTGACGCAGGAACACACGTTTCCCTGCTGTCAGAAGGCTGGACTCTGCTGCCCTTGTGGGCTGTGTGACTTCAGGAAGGCCCGGATCTGCTAGCTGCTAGAAACTGTTCAGACCTTCCCTCTCTTGGCAAACCTCCCATGACCTCCGTTTGCCCATCATCTCCGACGACGACTTTGCTTCCTACCTCACTGGGGAAGGTGAAGCCGCCAGTGGGGAATTCCCACGAGCCCCCCACTGCCGCTCTGCTCGTGCCCATTATTCTACCTTCTCTGGGCTCCCTGGCTGACACTGCAGCACTTCTCCCTCCTTCGTCTTCAGTTCTGCCTTCTTCTCCCGGCTCTTTCTCATCACCCACATACATGTTGTTATTTTTTCTGTCTTAAACAAACAGCTGCTGCCACACTCGCTCTCCTCCCCTTAAATAAAACTTGAAAGCATTGTCTCCACTTCCTCTCCTCCCAGTCTCTCTTGGACGACCTCCAATCAGGCTTTGACCCTACTGTTGCACCAAAATAGCTCTTGTTAGTCACCAAAGACCCCCACGTCGCTAGGCCCTCGGGTTCCCCCACACCTGGTGGAGCAGCCTTTGCCACCACTGGCCACTCTCCTCCTGGAACCACTCTCTCCACGTGGCCTCCAGGGCATCCCAGGGTCCCCCTACTTCTCTGGCAGCTCCTTCTCAGTCTCCTTGGCTGGGTCCCCCTTCTGTCCCTGAGTGCCCCAGGACTCCAAGTGTTAGAGTGGCCCTCTCCCTCTTCCATCTACCCTTACTTCCTAGGTGATCTCATCCGGCTCACTCAATACTGCCCACATGCCGCGGGTGCCCATCTGCCCTTCTCCTGTGTGACAGACGTGCCACTCCACCCGCCTTCTCCACATCAGTACTGACACATCTGACTGGCACCACACACCTCATGCTCCCAGCTCCATCCTTCCGATCACCTCTGCCAAAATCACTGCAGGCTTCCTTGTCTTCTTTCTCTCACATGTGAGACCCAATCCATTAGCACATCCTGTTGGCTCTCCCTTCACAGTACATCCTAAGTCCAATCACTCCTCACTACCGTCATTGTCACCACCCTGCTCCGAGCTGCCATCCTCACCTGGATTATAGTAGCAGAAGTCTTCTAACCACATTCCAAGCCTCCACCCTTTACCCTCTTCAGTCTGTTCTCAACCCCGTGGCCAGAGGGATCCTTTACAAACGTCAGCCAGCTCATGTCACCTTACCGCCCCAAACCCTCCGATGGCTCCCATCCCACTCAGCATAAAATTTAAAGTTCTCACACTGGCCTACAGGCCCTCAGGTCTGGCCACTGCTCCATCCCTGACCTCCTCACCTCAACTTCCCTTCTCGCTCCTTCCACTCCAGCCACACTAGCCTCTTTATTGTTCTTTGAACATGCTAGGCTTGCCCCTGCCTCAGGGCCTTTGCACTTGCTATTCCTGTTGCCAGAAACATTCTTTCCTTGGATGACTACACGGCTCACTCTCCTTCCTTCAGGTCTTTACTCCCGTGCCTCCTTCTCAGTATGGTCTTCTAACAGGACCCCCTATCTAAAATCTCTATTCTACCTCAGCATCCCCAAGTCCCCTTCCTTATTTGTTATCATTATCTAATACACTATGTATTTTATTTATTTACTTTTGTTTCTTTCTCACTCAAACCCTAGGATGTAAGATCCATGAGGGCAGGGATTTATATTTTTTTGCCTGTTTTGCTCATTGCTATATCTCTAACACCTAGAATAGTGCCTGGTGTGAGGTAGGTGCTTTTTTATACACTGTCCTTACAGAATGAGTGAATGAACTGCCCAGGGCCGTAGTCTCTTCATCTGGAGAATGGGTATACTAACAGAACCTATCTCCTGGGGTGGTATGAGATTCACTGAGCCAAGTGACAGTGCAGGTGTCCAGCACAGGCTTGGGAACACAGCAGGTGCTCAGTGAGGTGCACTTTTCACCCCTCTGCCCTGCCCCCTGCTGTGTTTAGGGGGCTGGGCTGGATGTACCCCATCTAGCTTCAGCCCATGATGATCCTTGTCTCATCCTGGGCTCCTGTTGAGAGGCAGGCAGGGCCTTACCTGGGTGGATGTCCTGGAACAGGGACTTCCAGATGGTGTACTGCAGGGGGCCTGTGTACTTGGAGGTTGGAAAGTCTTCGTATGTCAGATTGGTCTCATGGACTTTCCCTTTGAGCCTGGAAGGAGAGCAGGAGAGCAGGTTGCACTGGGGGCTGGATTCCTGTCCTAACACTGGGGCCTTACAACCACCTTCAAGGCAGCTGACATAGGGTGAGGTCATGTGTGTGAAGTCGGCTGGACCCAGATTCAAGTGCCTGTTTGTACCACTTCCTACCTCTCTAGCTATCAGCCTCAGTTTCCTCATCTTTAAAATGGGTACTGTAGCCTGGCTAGTGTGGCTCAGTGGACTGAGCTTCATCCCATGGACTGAGAGGTGCCAGTTTGATTCCCGGTCAGGGCACATGCCTAGGTTGCAGGGGGTGTGCAGGAGGCAGCCAATCGATGTTTCTCTATCACATCAATGTTTCTATCTCTCTCTCTCTAAAAAAATCAATAAAAACATATTTTTAAAAATAAATAAATAAAATGGTACTGTAATAGCACATGCTTTCTAGGTTGTAAGAATTACATGGCATAACATATATAAAATGTAGAACACAGTGTTTGGCTCATGTCAACACCAAGTACCTGATGTTAGCTATCAGTACTGATCATCAACAAACTAATAATTAAGTGCTATTACTATTAAAGGTGGCAGTGGGACCAGCGAGACCTGGGGTTGAATCCTGGCTCCTCCACACACTAGGTGAGGAGCTTTAGGCCACTGATCTAGCTTCCCTGTGCCTCAGTTTCTACATGTGTGAAATGGGGATGATGGTGGTAACTACCTTCAAGGGGGCTATTTATTATACATAATATCCATGTTATTATAAGTAATATGTAAACCTCTAATATAACATACATATAATATGCTATATTATGTATAGGTAAGCCTTTAGCACAGGCTCTGGCACACAACAGGTGTCCTATACATTTGATAAGGATCTGAATGAATGGATTCTCTGCTAACCACCCTGTCTGCCTCCATTCCCACCACCCCGCATGGGGTGGGAGGGGTACCCATCTTGGGCAGGTCCGGATAGGTGGGCCCTGACTTACCTCTCGGACAGTGAGGCCACCCCGGCCAGGAAGGTATGCCGGTCGGTTTCCGCCAGGCGCTCCTGCAGGATCTGGGCCCCCTCCTGCACCTTGCGCAGCTGCTGGCTGTAGCGCTGGACTTTCTGCTCAATGTCGGTCAGCGTGCGTGCTGTGTCGGCCTCCAGCTCCTCCAGCATGGCTTTCTGCCGCTCGCGCAGCAGCCGGTGCAGCCGTTCGAAGGCCTCGCCGATAGTGGTCCGCAGGCTTTTGGTAGAAGACTGGGGGGACAGTCATCAGGGGTTATGTTAGGGAGAGGAGATGGGGTGATCCCTGGGTGAGAGGAGGAAACAGAGAGCCTTGGCATGTAGAGAGGAAAGGGAAGGGGAACCCTGGTGGTCACTCACCCTGTCCTGCCGCCCCGAGACCCTCTGGCCAAGGAACAAGAGCTGGAGGTTACGGCCATTATCAGAGGAGGCAAGTATGGACTTCCATGGTCCTCTGCCCCCACGGGCATGCCAGGCCCAGGAGGGGGTTGAGTGATGAAGGGCACAGGCTTTTGTGCCCAAAAATCTGGGTAAGGATCCTAGCTCTGGGTCTTCAGTATGGCAACCTCAGTTGCCTGATGTCTATGAACCTTAGTTTTCTTATCTGTGAAAATGGTGACACAACTACACTGCAGGGTTATGGTGACGATTACATGAGGGAATGTTCAAAAATGATGCATGGCATTGTTCGAGGTCCAGAGAAAGAGCCTGGTTATTACAAAGGCGTCGGTTCTAACAGACACGTCCTAGAAGCCTTCACTGAGAGATGGCTTCTGAGCTGCGGCCTGAAGCATAAGCGGATGTTACCCGCGGGTGAGGAGAACAGGAAGAGGGAGCAGCAGAGTCAGGATGACACACACGGCACAGAAGTGCGGCCAGGCTGCCGCAGTGTGTGGGGCCTGCCTCTGCGATTTTACTTTGTGGGATTCTGGCTGGGAGTTCACAGAGTCAGGGACCCTGCTGTGTGCCGTGTCCAGGGCTCTGTGGGAGGCTTGACAAAGGCTCAATTAGGGCCAGTTCCCTCTGTGTCCCAGCTGCCTGCCTGCAGGAAGAACTGCTGGCAGTGGGCCAGCCTCCCTGCGCATGCCCACCCAGAGCGCCAGACAGACAAAGGGTTGGAGGGAGGCTGGGGGCCAACAGCTGAGCTGCCTGAGGCCTCTCTAGCCCCTCACCGAGGGAGGGCAGAGGCGTCCTCAGTGGCAGGTCACAGATGGAGAAGATGGGGCCTGTCCTTCCTGCACTATCTGCCACTGCCCTCCAAAGGTCCCCAAACCCCATGGCCACCCCTTCTAGTTCCTCCTCAACCACTCTGCAGCATTTGGCCCACTGGCCACCCTCTACTAATGGCAAGTCTGGTTTGCCTCCCACCTCTGGCTGCTCCCTCTTTGCCACCCGTGTTCCTTAGGGCTTGTCCAGGCCAGCTCCTCCCATTCTCCTCCTACATGCCCTCCATCATCTCCCGCTCTCCCTGCTTTGAGGATGGCTCCCCATCCTTATCGGGGGCATTGCATATATCGGGAGCACCACATTCATCTTTCCACCTGCCTCTTCCACACATACCCCTGGGACCCCACAGGCCCTCCGACTCACGCGGTCCAAAGTCAACTCTGAGTCTTGGCCAACAAACTGGCTGCCAGAGTGATCCTTCTGATGTGTAAACTGGGCCACAGCCAATCCTGCGTTTAGGAACCTTTCTTGGTTCCTTGGTGACTAGTGAAATGCTAAATTCCTTAGCCTGGCATTCAAAATCCTCAGTTCATCCCAGCTTACCTCTCTGGTGCCATTGCATTGCGATTCCACCTGGCTAGAATAAACAGATCGTTTATTCCTGGCAAACTCCTACTTACTCTACAAGACCCAGATCAAAAGCTATCTCTTCTGTGATACCTTCCTTAACTTTTTCAGGCAGTTAGCTAAATGTCCCCAGAGCATTTCGTAAATACTTCTTGATGCACTGTCCCACATTTTATGTAGGTCCCAGAGTAGATCAACCCCCTACCCCATGGGAATGATGTCTTCCTTAGCTCTGACCCCCACTCCTCCTCCCCCATGTCCATCCCAGGGCCTGGCACAAGGCTGGTGGCAGTTAGGACCTGCCTGAGAGGTGAAGGAGGGAAGGGTCTTGCCCAAGATTGCTCTGCAAAGGTGGGTGCAGACCCCATCTTACTTCTAGACTGGGAGCCCAGTGTCCCCAGGATAAGAGAGGATGGGTAGAGAAAGGGGGAGAGGCAAGGAGAAGGCAGCTCAGAAGTGGAACATCAGAGTGCCAGCCACCCCAGGGGACAAATATGTTTCCTGACCTACCTGGCTTGCTGACCACAAAGCCAGAGATCTTGCTGAGGACACCCCAGCATGAGGCTGGAATATGCACTAGGCTCCGACAGAACTGGACAGTAAGTTCCCAGTTGGCCACTTACTAGCTCTGGGGCCTCAGGTCAGTCCCTCAACCTCTTTGTGTCTCAGTTTCCTTGCTGATAACATGGAGATAACAGTTCCTACCTCAAAAGGTGTCCCCCCCCATTTGTTCTACAATTATTTACTGTATGAGAGGCACTGTGCTAGGTTTGGGGAGTCCTGCTGTCATGGAGGTGACATTCTGTGGGGCTCAGTAAGACAATGAGTGGGAAACAATTTCTAGCAGAGAAAGGTTTAGCTTAACTGATGTGTCCTGGTTACTTTGGTTTTTTTCTACAGCAGAGCCGCCCCCACCTCACCCCCAATCCCTGTGGTGCTGTGGCTGGGAAAGCAGCCCCCACCCCAGCCCACCACATCCCTGGGAACACACTGGGGCTCAGAGGAGCTGGGGCCATTTCAGAAAAACAGCCTGCCAAGAATGCATCACTCAGTCAGGGCCGACCAAGGAAAACACTGGGCCTGGGGAGAGAGGTCAGACAGGCCCTCAGGCTGGGCCATTGGAGGAGCAGGCGCCGCAGGAAAGCCGAGTCAGGCACCAGGTGAAATATGACCTCCAAAGCATCCATAGGCATTTCTTGTATAAACACCCTAGTCCAGACAGGAAGCAGGGCTGGGGAACTGGAGGGGAAGGTGGCCCCGCAGGACCCCCCAGAGGTAGACAGATGGACAGGAAATCAGTGGGAGAAGAGGTCAGGGGAGAAAAACAATGGGGGGCGGGGGGCTGGAGAGAAGAAGAGAATGCTGGGGAGAAGAAACAGACCATAAAATTCCCCCCTCATCCAGATGGAGGCTTCCATTTGCTTCTCTTTCCTGAGAGGTATATAATCACCAGGCAGATGGGGAAACTGAGGTGTAAGAAGCAAACAGGTCAGAGTCCTGTGACTGTTTCTCATCTGTTGCCCGCAGAGGGTCCTGACCAGAGGCCCTCTGGAAAGTTCTCTGAAGAAATGTTTGAGACCCACAGCAGGTTGCCAAGCTGGGACACAGATCTGGGTCTCCAGCGGCCTTTCGGGGCCCCAGTGTGACCTCCGAGGCCCAGAGCACATTCCCAAGGCGCTGCTCCAGCTGCTGCTGGCAGTGGCACCCCTGCTGCGGAGGGGAGCCAGACTGAAACCCCCCGAGAGCTCGGCAGCCGGGCCTGGGACCCCAGTTCTTGGTCCCAGAAAGACAGGGCAGCAAGCACAGCAAGCCTTCATCAGTTAATGAGCTATTTGTGAGGGGAACTCCAGAACTTAAGGGCTGGAAGGAGCCTGGCAGAGTCCCCACTGTACGGATAGGAACTCCAGGGCCCCCAAAATATGCAGTTTACTCAAAGTCATACAGTGAGTTAGTGGCTGCACCAGAATTCACATCCCTCCTCTCAGGTCAAGGAAAAAGGCTTTTCATTGTAGCTAGAGACTGCAAGGTTTGACCCCATTGTGTGTGTGTGTGTGTGTGTGTGTGTGTGTGTGTGTTTAGTATTCTATTAGTTTAACTTTTTTTTTTTTATCCTCACCCGAGGACATTTTTGCCATTTTTTGTTCAGATAGAGTGGGAGGGAGAGAGAGGGAGAGAGAGAGAGAGAGAGAAACATCGATGAGAAAGGGACACATCGCGTGGCTGCCACCCGCACAACCAACCAGGGCCGGGGACAAACTGCAACCGAGGTACATGCCCTTAGCGGGAACCGAACCCGGGTCTCTCTGGACCGCAGGTCGAAGCTCTAACCGCTGAGCCAAATCGGCCAGGGCTGACCCCATTTTTCGCAGTCCATGATCCCATGGCCTGAGTTTGAGAGGGGAGATGATACCAGGGCTGGCCCACAAATCCTCAGGAGCCCTTCAAGGGAAGATGCTCAGGGTAGGGTCCTTAGGCAATGGGCGTTTTAGTAACGCAGGAGAGAAAAAGACCCTGCAGGGAACCAGGGTTTTTCCTGAGGGTCCCTAGTCTCACCTCAGCCTCCACCCAAAGCAGGGAGAAAGGGACCGTCCCCCCCTTAATCCACGCACTAACCAAATGCTTGCCCTCAGTCACCCTGGGGTAAGGCTTACCCCATATACCTTTGCTGAAGCCTCAACCTGGGTTCCGCCCCCACAGCCCCGCCCCTCCACGTGGAGTTTGGGCCCCCTAAGTCCCGCCCCCACAGCAGGCCCGAGTCTCCGCCCCCTCCGTCCTCTCTGGCCCCGCCCCCGAGAAGCCCCGCCCAACCGGCCCCCTCCGCCTCCGCGTCCAGGCCAGGTTCACCTTGGTCTCGGCCAGCTGTCGCTTGAGCAGCTGCAGCGCCTCTGTGTGCTCCCGCTCGCTATCCTGAAGGGCCTGAAGCTGCTCCTTCAGCTCCCTCTAGGGAAAGAAAAGAGTCCCAATGTACAGTGTTTGCCAGTTTCTGTGATGTAAACGCTCCCACCAAAGCCCATTTCAAGCGATCAGTGTGCGGGCACAGGACCCGGAGCTGCGAAGGGGTTTGCAGTCAGCTCTGGGAACCGGTGCAAGCTGCCTCCAGCACACTGCCCTGCGGTCCTTCTCTGTAGACCTGTGTTTCACACACCCTCATCTATCTCATTTCAGCTCCTCAGTCAGGTCTGTGTTGCTTCTAGCGAAAGCCATTCCTAGTGAATCCCTGCGCATGCGGGTCGTTGGAGCAGAGGGGCCCATTCACCTGAGTGCAGAACTGCTCCGCAGGCCCACCCTGACGGCTTGGATCTGTCCAGCTCACATGGTCTGGCAGAGACACAGACGTCTGAGGAGTTGGGCCAAGTGCTACAATCCTCCCCCTTGGTGGTCCTCATGGGTCCACAAATGACCCAGCCACCCAGGCCGCTCTTCAGAGTCTCTGAGAAAACTGCCCCGGAGGCTGTGTTCTGAACATTGCTCAGGGCACCCGAGGGACTTGGACAACTTCCTTCCTGCCTTCAGGGCGAGGAACAAGGACAGCAGGCCTGTCCCTCCTCCTGGACCCCAGGAGCAACAGAACACTCGTTTGTCCATTCCACAGACACACGCTAAGGCTTTTTTGGGCCCCACAGGGTGCTGTGTCAGCAACAGGGAGAGCGATAAGGGACACGTTTCACCCCATGATGCCTCAGGACGGGGGCAGATGAATTGGGAAGACAGGGACACAGACATTAACATCACAGTGAACGCTGGAAGTATTAGGGGACCCCAATCTGCTCCTTCTCCCGTGTTCCCCATCTAAATGAAGGGTACACCATCCCCCACAGCCAGTGAAGCCAGAAATCTGGGAGTCATCCTTGACACTGTTCACTCACCAATCCAGTCTTCAAGTTCTGTCCTCTACACCTCCTGTCATCACCCCCGCCCCAGCCCCTCCAGGCTCCTGGGTTGTAGCCCCAGGCTCCTCCCTGCCCCCTCCCACTGCCCCACAGAGCAGCTGGAGTCACTGTTGTAAACGACAGATGTGTCCATGTTTCTCCCCCCACACCCTCTGCGAGATTTCCATGTTGTCTGGGAAGAAGGGCACCAAGTCCGAACAAGGCAATGAAGGCATCGAAGGCATCCACCACCAGCGCCAAGTTTCTTCTCCAGCACTGCAATATGGTAGCCACTAGCCACATGTGGCTACTTAAATTAAAATGAAACAAAAATTAAATAAAATGTAAAAGTCTGTTCCTCATTTGCACTGGGGCGCACACTTCAAATGCTCAACAGCCACATGTGATTAGTGGCTACTGTGTCAGACAGCACAGATGCACGACACTTCCATTATTCTAGAAAGTTCTGTTGGGCCGTGCTGCTCTAGATGCACTAAGCACCCTCGTGCTGTCCCTCAGGCCTTTGCACCTGATGTTCCCTCTGTCTAGGATGCTCGCTCACATTTTTCTCCACTTGTTAGACTCAGACTCATCTCTCAAGACCTAGATCCAATGTCACCTCCACTGAGAATCCATCTCAAACCCTTCCTAGTGTCCGCAGACACTCCTCTCTGGGCAGTGCCCTTCAGCGCACCATCATGGTGCACACGGCATATTAACTGCAAAGTTACCTGCCAAAGTTACCTACTAGAACGTGGGCTCTCCAGGGTAGGGACCAGGAATGATAGATTGTCACACTCTCAGTACCTAGGACAGGGCCAGGCACAAAGTGACTTTGGTATGAATCCGCCCTGGGAAGGGTTCAGAGCTCCCCTCTGAAAGGGTGGGAGGGGAGAGAGCGCCCCAAGCAGGCAGCTCTCCCCAGGAGGGCTACAGAGCCTGAGGGAGCAGCTAACTTAGGAAGACCAAACCCTGGAACTCACATGGCAGGACTGGGAGGCAGTCTGAACCCTCCTTCCCCCTTCTTGTGGCTCCTTCTAGGCATCAGACCTGGTTAGGAGGCTGGCTCTGCCATACACTAGCTGTGTGACCTTGGGCATGTACCCTAACTTCTCTGTGCCCCAGTCCCTCATCTATGAAATGGGGGTAATAATACCTTCTAGGGTTGGGCGAAATGAGATAATAGTGAGAAGTGTTTAGCCTCATAGGAAATCACAAGCCAGGCATGTTTTTTAAAAAAATATGAAGTAATATGTTTATCCAACTGTGTTTCATTAATTCAGTTTCTAGTTAAAATATTATAGAGGGAAAAATAAGAGAATTTGTACTGCTGTGAGGACACAGACATAGCAGAGCTTGGCATACACTGTGCTCGGGAGATGGAGCGGTTACCACGTCCCACATGAGGCTTCTCGGTCACTTCTCCATGTCCTCACCCCTTGCTGTGTTCAGGTCTACCCAGTCAGAGCAGGAGGGGCCCCAGGGATCATTTGACCCACAGCCACATGGATTGACACAGGAGAACCAACTGGACTCCCGCAGAGGTCAGACAGGAAACCTGAAGCTATTGATAAGCCCTAAGTGACAGCCCTACCTGGGAGGAAGGGCACTGGCAACGCCAGAGCTCAGGACCAGCAGGCTGGGGGTGGCGTGATTTGGGTTTGGATTTCACAGGCGGTGTGTCACCTAATTCTCACAACAAGCTCACAAGGTTAGTGCCTTATCACCTCCATCTCACAGAGGGAGAAATGGAGGCTCAGAGAGGTCAGGCAGCTGCCCTACGGCCACACAGCTTGTAAGGGGCTCTGAGTGACTCCAAACCCGTGCTGGACACCCTCGGCCGCTCTGTCTCCCACTCAGTTCCATACAGCCATCGTGTCTGTTCACCCGCGGTCAGGCTTAGGACCAGTCCCTCGGGGGCTCCTTGAGGAGTCTGCAGTTAGTTGGGGAGGCAGAAACTAACAAGGGAGAACAGAATAAACAGAGGGACCACCTAGGAACCAACTGAGCTGGCTGCCAGCGCCTGTGTCTGTGACACCCTCCCTCCACCTCAGCACAGGCTCTGTGGTGTGAAAGATTAGATGACTTAATTCATGACCTGACTCGAAGCCTAGGATGTGCTCTGTCACTTAGCTGTTGTCATTATCATCATAATAATTACAATTATGTGTTAAACAGACACTCAGACCTGGGGAGTTTCCAGGAGAGTTTATTTCTGATGGACAGATGGACAGGGTTCCTTCAAGTCTCCAGGGTGGGGCCCGAACATTTCGGGTGGAGAGAACTAATCAAGCAGGGGCACACCTGGTGTGTGCAGGCAGTGGGGGCAGTAGGGATGGCTGGAGACACGTACGTGGCAGGGGGGCGGAGTCACAAGCTAAAAAGGCTATGGGGCTAGCTCGGGTGAGGGTGCAGGGTGGAGAAGGCCTTGAAGGTCTGCCTGGGGGACCTGGACTCTGCAGGGGCCGCTCAGAGCCAGGGCAAAAGGAGGGGACAAGCGGAGGGCAGAGCCACAGCTCTCCAGGTCATCTTCCTCTGGAGAGGGGGCAGGGGCAGGGCTAGTGCAGACCTGAGTGCACAACTATGCAAATATGTCAGCGGAGAGGCTCTGGGGCTCCCATAGGTTTTTAGGGGCCAGGACTGGGACTGCAGCGGTGGGGAGGACAGAGAGCCAGGGCTCACATGTCCTCGAGGCCAGACCCCCTCTCCAGAGTGGCCACCCCTCTCCCAGCCCAGAGGACAAAGCTGCCCCAGGAGTCCATCTCCGCTTGACTTCGGACCTTTCTCAGCCCCCTCACTGTTCAGTGCAGCCCATTGGGGACCACATGAACTCTGGCATTAGGACACCTGGGTTTAAATCCTGGCTGCACCCCTTCCTCTCAGAGCCTGATCTGTCAAGTGGGGAGAAGAGCCACTCACAGGCTGTGACGAGGACGGTGCCTACGAAAGGGCCAGCATGGTGCTGGCACAGCGTAGGTGCTCAAGGCCTTCTCCCCTCCTCTGTGCCCTGGGGCTGCTCTCTGCCCTCTCGGACCCAAGGGTGTCGGAAATCTCGGCAAGGCAAACCGAACTTGCCTCTTCGATGCCCAGTACTCCTGGTGCTCCTGCTCGCCCCGCCCGCCCTGAGTTCCCGTGCATCTTGTCTTCGAGCCCCACCCTCCTGTCCACTCCGGCTCTCCCACCACCCCCTGAGCGGGTCGGACCGGGACACACCTGCCTGCTCGAACCCATTCCTGGCTCCCCAGACCCTCTAGGATCCAATCCCAGCGCCTTGGGCTGGGAATGGTGTATTCAAGGCCATTCTTGAGCTGGCCAAGCGTCACTTCCCCCCTATTCCCTCCCCACCAGCCATAACAAGCCACCTGGACATGTGCTCCCCTCCGTGCCTGTCCCGTGCCAGTCAGACTCAGACAACCTCTACGTCCTCCACCCCCGCCCAGGGGCCAAGCAGATTTGAAGGTAAACGATGCTGTGCAAACACCGCTGGATGAGAGTTCATAGAGTTGAGTTCTGGTCTAACCTTGGGCAAGTCCCTTCACCCATCTGGAGAGTGGGGAGAGGGTGGAACTCATGGCTCCTGAGCTCCCTCCCCGAGGCAGTTGGAATAGTGGTGGGAGGCGGGGTTCTGAGCCAGACAGACCCTAGTCGGAGTCCCTGCTCTGCTTCCCACTTGCAGTGTGATCTTGGGCAAGTGACGACCTCTCGGCCTCAGTGTCTTCATCTGTGCGGTGGTGCCGGGTCCCACTCAGGGAGCAGGGAGAGAATAAAGGGCTGTTGTGAGAACTCGATGCCAGCACCTGGCACACAGCAAGTGCCCAATAAACTTTGGCCAGCGTTTATTCAGTTATTATTTCTGTTGTCACTCCACACCAGATCCTTTTCTCTCTATAAATAAATGTCAAGTCTAAGTTTCTATACTGCAGCCTGTGCTTACCCAAGGTCCTGGATGAACAGGGCATTGGTGGCTGCCCAAAGACACCTGTGAAGAGGGAAGTGGAGATGCCAACAGCTAGCTCTGGGTTTGACTCACTGCCAGCCTCGCCCCCAGGAAGGCAGCTGTTTGTACATAAA